ACAAGCTTAACCCCGCTCTCTTATGAATGTTCCTGTCCCATTCAGGAACCTGACAGAAAATAGTTTAAAGGTTACTTTGAAGCCATTAATTAAATTAATTTAATCAAATTAGTTATTTGTCATGACAAAAATCACAAAGGCAATGAAAACCGTGTGTGCGCCAAGAAAGGTCAATACGTATGGCTCAATTCGGTGGTGGATTTAGGGGGCAGGGTGCCCAGGCTCCTCCTTATGAAGCCACATTTATTGTAAATTCAGACTTTTATCTACTTGTTCCACTCTTACCCAAATAATTCAGTCGTTATATTCCGCTGATCTACCATTACTTCATTAACAAGTATAATTATTCGGGGTTAGTTCCACTCCAAAGTTGTTTAGTGTGTACGATATATAGCTGGTCTAGTCAATTTTTGGGGCCCTTTATAGCTTACTGTTCGGTGTGAGCCAAGGCTCCGTGTTGAAGACCGTACTGTGACCTATAATGGTTTACTTTTATAAATTTTGACTTGGATGGAGAGTTGTCTCATTGGCACTCATACCACATCTTCTTATATCTATTCAATCTATTTAAAAAAAATCCCAGCTGTTCTCGTAAAATAGAACTTTTGTCATACTTAGGCTAGGTCTCAAAGAGTGGGTCATAAAAATGAACCCGTCTAGAAAAAGCTGGAACAGGTAATACCTTGGATGCCAACTAATAAACGTGTCAACGCTGTAACACAGGTGTCCTTGTGTAATGAAATTTCAAGGTTTTGGTGCATGGTCAAGTAGTTAACTTGGATCATCAATGAGCCATAACATGTAAGTTGTAATTTAAAAAATTCGTAATTGATATACGGACTCGACTGAATCTTGTTTGTCCTCGGCAAAACTTTAGCAAAACAAAATCTGTATTTGAATAGTTAGTAGGGGTAAATATCACAAAAAGCTGAAGACGCTACTTCTTTAAATTCTATGTATGCCGTGTTATAATTAAACATTAGGAAATCATGAAAAGGTGCACAGCATCGCGATCGATCAAAAGTTATATATAAAACAAAATGAAACGGCAATTATGTACATGTGAAAAAAGGGGGTAGAATGTGAAAAAAATATCACACTTTAGGATATTTCTAAACGGAAGAGAGTATACAAATTTGCAGATAGATACTTGAAGTATATTCATAGGCGGATCCAGGGGGGGGGGGGGGGCTGGGGGGCCCGGGCCCCCCCTTTCGTGGGAAAAATTTGGTTGATTATATAGGGAATTACTGAAGCATGAATGGAGCGGGCCCCCCCTTAGGTCAGCCAGCAGGCCCCCCTTAATGAAAAGTTCTGGATCCGCCACTGATATTTTCTTTTTAACATATAATTTTACATTCTCATATAAATTTATAGGTCAGGTATTTGAGTACTACAGAAGACAAATTAAATCAGAGTGCAAAAGGAATAGTAATGATCATTGAAAATATTCTGGATACAAAATGCATGGAAATGGAGATGGTACAAAATGCATTCTACCATTTGATAGCCCAGAATGAATAACTTTAAGTAAGTAACATAATAGCTATTGTATTTATTGTTCACTTGTTCTCGTCCTGAACATGCATGGACTATTTGCCACTGGACGTTAAGCAACCAACAATCAATCAATCAATTATGCTACATCGAATTTGAAATTCGCAGATATATATGCGTAAAATGTTTAATATTACCGTTAATGCTAAGTGTCACTTTGATTTAGATTTGACTTTGTATTTTTTCACTTGAATTATGTATTTAGTTAGAACGTTTTTTGACATAGTTCTGTTTCCTGAATCCATATCATAATCAAAATAACGGCATACCAGTAATCTAATTATTATAATACAATTATTTTCATAATGTTTGAAAAACAATCAGTTTGACTTATAATATCGGCTTAAAAGCTTAAATCTCAATTGAGTTTAAACATTTATGTGTTTTTTTCTTCTTCAGAAAGCAAACAAGAAGAGCAAGCTTGCAGTAAAATTCAAATATCCACAAGTCGGAGAAAAAACAATCGCATTGTAAAAAAAATAAAAATAATAAACAGTCTTCATTACACTACATATAATGATAGAACAAGAAACAGGTGCCATGGAGGAGAGCTTACAAATGTTAGTCTAAATATGCATGATATATTTGCAAGCTGAGAGTTGGTCTGTACATAAAACATTGTTTGAATATTTATATAATGTTTTTTACTAATATATTACCAAGATATTTTAAGAATGTTGGGAAGACGTCCATAAAACATTGTTGAAATATTTAATTTACATTTTCAAGAAATATTTCTACATAAACATGCCTCTGATATTTTAAAAACATTTTATAGACATCCATAAAACATATTATAGACATGAAAAGGATATGATATATTTTGTCTGGATATTTTCAATTGACACTGAATGATATCAAAATTATGTTATTTATTAAAATATAAAATCAAAATATTTAAAAATAATGTTCTTTAAACATGCAGAACAAATATTTCCAGACAATATGCTATTCACATGAGTACAGCCATACATTTCACGTCAAAAAATATTCTTGAATGATATTTTTGTGACATTTTGCAATATATTCTAAAAATATCAATAAAATGTTTTTTTGCTACCTGGGTAGTTAACTGTTACATCTTAAAATTATAAAACAAATATTCTTTGACCTAAAAAATGGAGAATTGCAGAGAGACAGCTCAGTATTAAAATCATGAGAAGTAATAGTTGGTTCATTGAAATAAAAAAAGCTATGCCTGAAATATGACATTGGCGCGGATGATACTTTATAGTTTTCTTGGCATTTCCGTTATCCAAAATCTTATGGAAAAAATTAATATCAACAAAGGTTAATGACTATTGTAAAAAACATAATAACAGTGAATCTAAAATGTATCCTTCATTATCATATCTGGAAATGAGTTATAAGGTAGGACAATGTCATCCTATAGCAAGAACTGTAGATGCAAACATCTGAGATATTTCGAGGATACCAGTACGACTAAAAATTGCTACTGGTACATACATTCTCCAAACAAATAGAGCCGCCTTTAATCTAAACAAAATAGATGTAGTCTGTATGCTCTGCAATTGTAGTGAAGAAACGCTTGCTCATTTTCCATGTTTTCTGCTAGGCTAGCCGTGTACCCGGTTAGAATATTATACGTAAAGATATTCTTGAAAAGATCACCAATACTTGTAGCTTGCTATAAATATAAATAAATATAAATAAGCTTTATTTAGAGTCGGCAAGATATACAAACAGAGACAACATAAGCTCTAATGAGCTTTTAACCGACATACAAGACATTTATAACAATACAACATATAACAATACGACACATAATATAATGCAATAAATTACACAACACAAAATGAAGCACTAAAAGCATGATGGTAATAAGCAGAATATAAGCATAAGCTAGGTATTAAAGCTAAAAGCATAAAAGTGTAAACTAGGCATAAAAGCTGGTAAAATGCATAGCATAAAATGTTTTAAAGAAAAAAGGGGGTATGATCTAAATGGTAAATAATTTTAGCATAATATATTAACTAAAAATCTGCACAAACTGTGCACTTACAGTCATTTCCATTCCATGACTTTAAAATATTTTTGAAATGACTAAAATTAGCAATTTTTCTAAAATCATCAGGTAGATCATTCCATAAAACAGCAGCTGTGTATTTAAAAGAGTTCTTACCATAGGTTGCATGATGTGCGGACCCTAGGTATATCTTCAATATTAGAATATCTAAAATTATATTTACAATCTTTCGATACAACTAAATCATGTAAACATGGTGGTGACAATTTATATAAAATTTTAAAACATTCAATAGCCATGTTACGCATACGTCTTATTTTCAGTGATGGAACCTTTGCTCGTAAAAGTAGTTAATCATATGAACTAGCATAGTCTTCACTATATGAATCGTAAAGCCCTTTCCTGATTTTTTTTCTAATTTAGTGGTGTTATTTTTGTTGCAAAAATGCCGCATGCCAAAGGACAAAAAAATAAAATTAGATAAAATAAATGTGTGGAAAATTGTCAATTTATTTAATTTAGTAAGGTAGCAGCCAATGCGCTTTAAAACATTCAGTTGTTGAGATGCTTTGCGACAAATATTTTTATTGTGGTGATTACAATTAAGTTGATAGTCAATATCAATACCTAAAAGTCTGACAATCTCATCACAGGATATTTTTGCTGACTGTATATTAAAAACAGACTTTTTTGCAAATGTTTTATTTCCAACTGCAATGGCTTGGAATTTATCAGGATTTGCCTGCATACAATTAAATCTAAACCAGTCAATTAAAACAGCACTTTCTTTTTCAAGTGTACACAATAAATTTTCAATTGTCAACATATGACAGAGTATTATCATCATTGCTATTTGCTAAATATAGTCTATCTGTAGAAATAGATCTTCTTAGTTACTGTTGTTGTGAATCCTTATGCCTACTGCACAGGCACTTGTCTCAGAAAAAAAAATTCCTATACAACATTAAGGTATATGTAGGGGAAAAAAATTCTGAGACAAGTGCCTGTGGCCTACTATATCACCTCAGCACATAAAGAGCTTACTAATGACATTAATATTCATTTAGAACCTCTGTGCAGACATCTTATATATAGATTGCACCATAAGCGGTACGAATTATTGAACATTATGCCTAAAAAAAAAGAATAGAAAATGTGGTTTTAAACATAAGTAAATGCTATAGCGAGTCATGATAGTGTAGTCAGATCACCTATTCATAATCATGATCTAAAATGCAAAATTTTGAAATTTCTACAATATTACTTTTAGATTTAAGATCGGACATAATTATTTTATGTGTGGATAAAGAACTTTTATCAGTGTATATAATTCTTATGGATCTAGTGTAAATACTGGTGGAGGATATTCAGTGTATATATTTAATATTTTAATCACCGTACTCCGGGTTCCAGGGTGTGCCTTAACTGGCAGAAGTTATTTACAGATGGATAGATAGGTAGCGGAATCCTCCGAGGGTCCTCCGCGTTATTTCGTTTTTCGTCTTCAGCAGCATGGCATGTCTTAAGGAACCAGACTCAGAAACAGAAATCGCCAGACGCGAAGTTTCCAAGAATTATCTAGGGTTGTATAGTCATTTACCAAATTGTGTATCCCACTGGGAACGATATCACGTAGAAAACTTTCTTCACATTTACTATGAAAAGAATAGTAGCAAACTGTCGGATGTTCTCGAGAAAATCCCCAAAATAAACAATTTGAGCAGTCAGCAGAAGAAGTACATTGAGATTTTGAAAAACACAAATTTCGGTCCTAATATCGGACTTAAAAGAACAGCTTACGCTCACTCAAAGACCACAGAACTTCTTGATGAAGCGGTGAAGGAGCTGAAGGCCAGCATTCCTATAATCAACTCAAGGTATTTATATACTATTATCAGTCAGGGGATTTCTTAATTGAGTGATTTTCTAAATCACTGATTCAAGTAACATTATCATGATTATGTCCACATAGCACAAAGGTTGGAAGTAAGAGTTGTCTTTCTTTAATAATCACCTATTTAAGGATTATGTACCCTTGTGTTGTTTCAATGCTAAACATATATGGAAATTTTATAGAAAATCCACAGCTTTCCCCATGTACTCTCATATTTGGCAATTCGTTACTTGATAGATAGAGGATTATTGCATGCAGTGCTAGCAATGATTTCCTTAAAACAAGTTTATAAATTTAGATATTGGTTAAAATAAATAAAAATATGGACCAATTCAAGTACACCTTCCAGAGTGCACTCGACTTAAGTGCTTCAGCAGGAGGTGTTTTGGAATTTAAAGGTTGTTTAGGACTTTTTGTAAACAATAAACTCTAGCTGATCATAGAAAAACAAGTGAGTAAACTTATATAATAATGTTTCAAATTTTATAACAAAAATCTCTGTATTAAAGTCTGTGGATTTTCTACAAAATTCTTGATTTTATTTTCACCAAATTTTCACCCCTTTTCTATTAAACATGTTAAATGCAATGAAACTATAAATAATTATGCTTTGCACGAAGTTTCCCCCGGGTATATGTACATAATGACCCATCTTTATTATTCATTATATTTGCTGTTTTGATGCTATTGCAATTTGAAAAGTTCATAATTCACAGGCCACAGAAGGGGTCATCTATCTATCTATCTTCATATTTCCGCACTCAGTCACAACTTTGACTATTACGTGCCGTTGCATGCGTGGCTTATTTACAATTTAAAAGAAATAAATTTTCAGTAATTTTACGTTACATTGCATTGGTGCATAGAAAAATAAAGTAAAAATATAACAGTGATTTAATAAATTTTTTTGTGGATTGTTATCCTATGTATTTTTCATGGTAAAACTATGTACATGTTATGCAGTTTTTAGAATATTTGTGAAAGAGCAGATATAGAAATCTGCTCTTTGAAGCCGTCGACTGTTGTACAAAGGATTGCTGGTGTAGGAAGTAGGTTCCATTGTACTATTGTATGTGGATAAAATGAGAACTTGTAAGAATCTTTATTTGTTTGAATTTGTTCAAAGTGGTTGGTATGTTTATGTCTTGTTCTACTGTCTGATTTAACGAGAAGATCTTTGGGGTAGATTGCTATGTGTTGATGTATGATCTTATAGAATACCACTAGTCTTGTTTGTATACGTCTCAATTCTAATGTAGGCCACTGTAAGTGATCAAGCATATTTGAGACTGAGCTGGTATTGTAATATCTATTACATGTATAGCGAGCAGCTCTTCGTTGGACCATCTCAATTTGATTGATTTGGTTTTTGTTGTGAGGGTCCCAGACGCAAGAACTGTACTCAAGCTTAGGTCTAACTAATGACATGTATGCCCTTTCTTTAATTTGTTTGGATGAAACTTTAAGGTTACGTTTTAGAAAATTAAGTTGTCGATTTGCATTAGCTGTTATATTATTTATGTGTTTATTCCATTTGAGATCAGATTGGATGGTTATGCCTAAATATTTTGTAGCTGTTTCAGTTTGGAGAATGTGACCATGAAGGATATAGTCATGGTTGACTGGTTTCTTTTTTTGTGTAATTCTAAGTATGGAGCATTTGTCTGGGTGAAATGACATAAACCAGTCTTTTTCCCATTGTGCCGCTGAATTTAAATCCTGTTGTAGTTTGGATGCATCATCTATGTTTTTGATGTTTCTATAGATGATGCTGTCATCGGCAAATAACCTTAAGGTGCTGTGTTGTAAATATTCTGGGAAATCATTTATGTAAATGAGGAATAAGATTGGGCCAAGGACAGTGCCCTGTGGCACTCCAGATGTTACCCCAATTTTAAGCTCACCTGACCTGAAAGGTCAAGTGAGCTTTTCTCATCACTTTGCGTCCGTCGTCCGTCGTCCGTAAACTTTTACAAAAATCTTCTCCTCTGAAACTACTGGGCCAAATTTGACCAAACTTGGCCACAATCATCATTGGGGTATCTAGTTTAAAAAATGTGTCCGATGACCCCACTAACCAACCAAGATGGCCGCCATGGCTAAAAATAGAACATAGGGTAAAATGCAGTTTTTGGCTCATATCTCTGAAACCAAAGCATTTAGAGCAAATCTGATGGTATAAAATTGTTCATTAGGTCAAGATCTATCTGCCCTGAAATTTTCAGACCAATCAGGCAACATGTTGTTGGGTTGCTGCCCCTGAATTGGTAATTTTAAGAAAATTTTGCAGCTTTTGGTTATTATCTTGAATATTATTATAGATAGAGATAAACTGTAAACAGCAATAATGTACAGCAAAGTTAGATCTACAAATAAGTCAACATGACCAAAATTGTCAATTGACCCCTTAAGGAGTTATTGCCCTTTATAGTCAATTTTTTACAATTTTCATAAATTTTGTAAATTTTTGTAAATTTTTACAAAATATTTTCCACTGTAACTACTGGGCCAAGTTCATTATAGATAGAGATAATAGTAAGGAGCACGAATGTTCAGTAAAGTAAGATCTACAAACACATCACCATCACCAAAACACAATTTTGTCATGAATCCATCTGTGTCCATTGTTTAATATGCACATAGACCAAGGTGAGCGACACAGGCTCTTTAGAGCCTCTAGTTTCTGATTGTTCTCCATCTAGCATGACTGTCTGTGTACGATGGTGTAAAAAATCACCAATCCATTCCAAGGTATTATTGTCTATGCCGTAACCTTTTGTGAGGGACTTTGTCAAAAGCTTTGGCAAAGTCCATCACAATGACATCAGTTTGTATGTTGTTATTGTTGTCTCTTGCAAGGTCCTGTATGAAAGATAGTAATTGTGTCTCACAAGAGCGTTTTGATCGGAAACCATGTTGTAAATCATATAAAATATTGTTTTTTTCGAGATGTTCCATTATTTGACTAGCTATGATATGCTCCATAATTTTGCAAAGTATACATGTTAGTAGCAAAAAGTTCTGTTCCAAAAACATGCCAAATTTGTCAGGAGTGTGACAAAAAAGAAAAATTCAATGTTTTGTAAAAGTTGTTATGATGAATGCATGCTAATAAAGATGGCTCATAAGTATTCTTCAATAAAAGGCAATATAGGAAAGGTGTACTGACATAAGAGGTCTCTAAACACATTAGCTCCTAATGGAGCTTTTGTTAGTAGAAGCCAGATTAATTATGTGTATCAGCGGGGGAAAATATGAAAGCATGAAAATATAGTATATATGCCAATACACATAATTAACAGTGCCTGGTGATGTTTCATAGCCTGACCGGTTTCAGTCCAAAAATGACCATCAGAGGGAGAATGTTGGATTAATGTTTGCACCCTATTTATAAAGATATGGTAACAGGTTCAGAGCTCCATTTGGAGCTAGTTTTGTTTCGCAGTTGTTTCTCCATAGGCGGTTATACATGTAGTAACGTTTTCTTCTGTGGCTTAGTCCATATCGTAAACTTGGATATATGTATGATGGCTCATTTCGAAGCTGAGACATTTTCACATATGTGGTTAAATTTTCAGGGTACGAAGTGAGATTACTTTTTCCATAAATTAGCATACCTTGAAAATCCTTTCGTGATGCGGCTTTTTGTGGTAAAAAATCCCCTGTTTTACACAATAAGTTCTTTGAAAATTTAATACTTTGAACACATTTAATAGCTCAATAGTTTTAACACATTTATTCTATGTTCCTCTACTTTCCAAATCAACTCAAATGGTTAAGCTCAGTCACTTGTTAAAAACAGAAACATGTCGAGGTGCATTAGGGACTTTGACCCAGATACATATTTATCCACTGGATAATTCTGAACCGCCGATTAACTGAACTGCTGGTAACCATATCTATATAAATAGGGTGCAAACATTAATCCAACATTCTGCCTCTGATGAAGGTCCATTTTTGACCAAAACTGGTCAGGCTATTAAACATCACCAGGCGCTGTTAGTTATGTGTATTGGCATATATACTATATTTCTATTCTTGATAACAGATTTTGTAGATTTTAGATTTTTGTTATCATTGACCTTTTCTACTAAATATTCATCTAAAAAGCCGAAAAAATTTCTGTCTGACCGAATTACTTTTGGTCTGACTTTTTCGGTCGAACAGAGTTCACAGTGTGGGAACAGAACTGTACAGTTTTCTAATATTTTGGTCATTCGGGAGACTGTCAAGCAGGGCTCCGACATTCGAAAAAAAACAAGTTGCTTGATTGAAATTTTGATGAACTCTAATGTCACTATATAATGTTTCTGCTTCAAGTTTTGGTAATCAAAACATTCTATATGTAAATATGAACCAATAAAATAATAAAAACGACATATGCATCCAAACGTTTTCCTTAGAATGGTGGGGCTCCTAGTAAATTGATCAAAACTGTCACAGAACAGCGATCAAAATGTTAAATAAACATCTAAAAACCCATCGTTACTACCAGAATTTTCACATGTACCTTCAGATATATATATAGTCTTTCCTGTCTGAAAGTTTAAAAGCCATTGTCCCAGTATATATATTCATTTTCTCAATGTCGGATATTTTTATTGACTGTACAATCACTTGGAGCTTTCCTGAACAATCGCTTGGGCAACTTCATTTAATACATTACATATGCGTTTCATTGGTTGTTCCTTGTCTGTCCTATTATATTCATCTATGGTATTTGAAATAAAAATGAGCACGAATTCAGTCTTTATCAGAGAAAAAAGTCAACATTGGAACAATAAGTATACAAGACAAAATAAAAGGACAGTACAAATGTAAATAGTTCTCGTACAAAAATAAATAACCGAAAAGGTGACTAGGTGCTCCGGAAGGGTAATCATATTTTGAAGTTTACTTAAATTATTAATCCCAACAGGTAAAAAAAAATAATACATTTGCATATTAACAATACAAGAAGAATGTTTCATCAGAGGACCGGGA